GATCAAGACAATCCAGCAGATCTTCAAAGACCTCTAGGTGGCCAGTTGCATCTGCAAAGCACTTTTCTGATGAGCTTTTAAAAATTATTATTATGAAGAGACTGGTTGAGCTTAATATTAAACCAAGAAATATCTCCTTAATTGGTCTCATTCTTTGCCCTTCCCTTCCCTTTCGGTGATCTTTTCACTTTAGACAAATAGCTAAGAGGCATGAGAGTTCCTTGACCTCACAGCTTGTTATGTACTTTGAAGTAAATATACAAGTTTTTTGGCAAGGAAGGATGAGAATCAGGCACTTGCTTACACAGCTTTTATGAATCTACTCTAGAAGTATTATTTTAGTCTTTGCAGTGGTACCTCAGTAAATCATATAACTATGATAAAGGCCACACACTGAAGTATTAAGTAAGATGCTTTTGGATATAAACCAACATGTTATAGCTGTACAATTTTCAACAAAAATCTAACATATGAATTGTGCCTATTTTTCCTTCAACTGGCTTGTTAGTGATACTTGTGAAAAAAAGACATGTATTCATATGTTAGAATTTGGGGTGAGAGAGAAATATTTTCTAGAAGACATTATACTTAAAGCTTTTCAAAAACAGTTCTGTCACTTACAAAATAATGGATTTTGAAAAGGCATTAAATTAACAGCAACAAAAAAAATAAAATACCTAGGAATTAACTAAAAAAAAAGTAGAAGAGCAATATGAAAACAACTTTAAAATTTTTTAAATAAACAAGATATGGATCATAAGTATCAGAAAACTAGAGTGGAAGGGCCATTCCTCAACATAATAAAAGCCATATATGACAAACCTACTGTGAGGATCATGCTGAATGGGAATGAAGAAACACTAAAAGTTCTCCCATTAAAAACAGGAACAAGGGGGTGAGCAAGTAGTGTAGTAGTTAATATGTCTTACTTCCACATGGCTGACTATGGTTTGAGTCTTGAACCCACAGGCTTGGAAATTATGCCAAGCTTGTGTGTGTGCATATACCCCAAATCCCAACAGAGAATGGAGGGGAAGGGATTGCAGTGTGATCAGTCTCCCTTGTGCATGTAGGATATCTCTCACTTTTTCTGTCTCTGTTTCTCTCCACTGAGCACACACACCCTATGGCAAAAACCTTTAAAACAAAAACAAAAACAAACCCACAAAACAAAGCAACAGAAAAAAACTGGAACAATGTAAGATTGCCCACTGTCTCCATTCCTTTTCAACATAGTGCTGGAAAGTCCTAGCCAATGCAATCAGGCAAGAGAGCAAAATAAAAGACATTCAGATAGGAAAAGAACTTGAACTGTCCCTATTTGTAGATGATATGATTATATACCTAGAGAACCCAAAGGAATTCATGAAATAACTAGAAGTGTTAAATGAATTTAGTAAAGTTGCAGGATACAAAGTCAATCCACAAAAATCTGTAGCTTTTTTATATAATAATGAAAATTCCATTTACAATATCTATAAAACAAATAAGACACAAAGGAAGTAAAAGTGCTTTACAAGGAAAACTATGAAAAACTGAAAAAAAGAAATTTAACATGATATAAAAACAATGGAAGGACATCCCATGCTCTTGGATTGGAAGAATCAATCTAATCAAAATGTCAGTCCAACCCAAATTAATTTATATATTTAATGCAATTCTGATTCAATTACTTGATACAATCTTTACATAAATAGGAAAAACAATTATAAATTTTGACTGGAATCAAAAAGACCTCATATTGCCAAGGCAATACTGTATCATAATAATAAACTAGGAGGTATCTTACTACCTGACTTCAATGCATACTACAAAGCAATGATAATTAAAACAGCATGATACTGCCACAAAAATAGACACATAGACCAATGGGACAGAATAGAGAATCCAGGAATAAACTCCAAATCATACAGTCAATTGACCTTTGATAAAGGGTATAAGACAATACAGTGGAGAAAAAAAATCTCTGTGGCAAATGGTGTTGGAAGAACTGGGTATACATCTTTAGAAAAATTAAACTGGACCCCTCCCTCACACCATTAACCAGAATTAACTCAAAATGGATCAAAGACTTTGAAAGCCTTCTAACTACAAAATTACTGTTAGAAAACATAAGGGAAGCTTTTGAGGAGAGCGGAGTAGGCAAAGATTTCTTAAATAAGGTCCCTACAGCACAGGCAGTGGTCCCTAAAGTGGACAAGTGGGATTACATCAAACTAAAAATCTTTCTCACAGTAAAAGAAACTGTAACTAAAGTGAAAAGACAACCTTTGGAATGGGAGAAAATAGTTACAAATTACTCTTCAGATAAGAGATTGATATACAGAATATATAGGGAACTCAGGCAGCTCACCCATTAAAAAACATAAATACTCCAGTTTAAAAAAGGACAAATGAACTGGACAGGCAACTCTCCAAGGAAGACTTAAGAATAGCCACACGCCATATGAAAAAATGTTAAAAATCTCTGTAATAAGGGAAATGCTAATTAAAACTAAAATGAAATATCATCTAACCCCAGTTAGACTGGTTATCATCAAAAAAAAAATGTTAAATGTTGGTGAAACTGTGATGAAAAGGGCACTCTTTTACACTGTTGGTGAGAATGTAAATTAGTCCAGCCTCAGGACCGGCAGTTGGCATAGTGGCTATGTTGCTGGACTCCCATGTAGTGGACCCTGGTTCTAGTCCCGGACCCTGTGGCTTAAACTCACGCCAGGCACGTGTGCATGGATGCCCAAGATCCCCAGGGCAGAATGGAGGAGAAAGGATTGTGGCATGGCCATTCCCCTGGGGGGGGGGTGGGTTTTGTGTTTTTTGTCTCGTTGATTTCTTGCTTTCTGTCTCTGTCTTTCTGGTGAGCACACACGCCCTATAGCAAAAAATCCTCTCGTAAAAAAAAAAAAAAATTAGTCCAGCCTCCATGGCAACCAATATGGAGATTTCTCAAATCCTACAAATAGAACTTTTATATGACCCCAAAACCCCACTTTTTGATATCTACCCAAAGGATAAGAAAACAATCAGAAGGGCATCTTCACATCCATGTTTATCACAGCATTATTTATAATTGCAGATTATAATTGGAACTAACGTAAGTGTCCAAAAACTGATGATTGGGTTGAAAAACTGTGACGTATATATACTATAGAATATTACCTAGTGATAAGAAACAATGAGGTCTTATCTTTTGGCTCAAAATGGATGAATATAAATTTAATGTTTAGCGAAGTGAGCCAGACTAAAAATACACATTGTATATCCCCACTCAATTTGTCCTTGAGTATCTGCTCTTTATGGCAGAGGTTGAGGAATCTGAAGATGTGATAGTAGAGAGGATCAGCTTGCATGCTGTTGACAGTAAGGAGGGAAAGTGGTTGGTAGAGAATGGGTGGCAGATGGTAAGTGTAAAAAGAAAAGAAAAAAGATTTTAAGTTGAGGCCAGCAAGTGGCATGGTGGTTAAGGTGCTGGACTCCCACATGACTGACCATGGTTCAAGTCCCAGACCTGGTGACTTGTTTTATCACTTTCTCTCTCTGTCTGTCTCTCTCTGTCTCTCTCTGGTCTAACTGAAAAAATATAATAATAGTTAAATAAAATAATTCTTTAAAAAAGTTTGTAAATGATAAACTTTTGTTTACAAGAGAAAAGAATCAAAACCTTTTTATGTATTGTCTGAAATATAGTTCATAAAAGTGTATATCTGTTCATTTATCTTCATCAAAAGAGCACTTTGCCTAAAAGAAAGGATTGACTAGTATGCGAAATGTTTACGATCTTTTGTGAAACTGTAGTTTATCATTAATTTGTATCTGTAACTTGTTGTTATAATTATCACCTGTATTTTCGATACATGTGAAATTGCAGCTGAAATTTATTTTGCCAATGTTTTATGAGTGCATTGGGTAATGTTTTTGTTTGAAACAAAATAATCAAAGAGATTTTGAAGTTAATGTGTACTAGGGAAATTTGGTTAACAAAAGAACACTGAGAGAGGACTGGTCTTACCAGATATGAAATCCTGCATGATAAAGCCTCAGTAATTAAAATAGAATTGCGTTGTTGTATGAGTAAACAGACTAGCTAAAGGATCAAAATAAAAATTATAGAATTAGACCCACATACTTACGAGATTTGATAAATGATAAAGGTCACATCTCAAATCAATGGGGAAAATATAGATGAATAAATATGGTGGAAACAACTGGATAATCATCTTGGGAGAAAAATAGAAGTGTTGAACCTATATATTATATAACAGGGTGGATCCCAGGTGGATCAGAGATTTAAAAAATATTATGTTGTCTGGAAAGTTATGATGTTATTTTTCTATATTTTTTAATGCAAAAAAAGTCTCATGACATTCCCAACAACCCTTTAAAATCTTAAAGGTATGGGAAAAAATTTGAATGTTCCCTATTGGAGTTGGCAAAGACTTTCTATTTTGACCTGAAATCCAGAAATCATGAAATTGATAATTTAGTCATAAACTTTTGCATAATGAAAACCAAAACAAAAACCTATAACCAGGAATGAAAAGGAGAAAAAAAAATTGCAATTTTTAGAGCTGACAGAAGATAATCTCTCTAGGATTTAAGAACTCCTAGAAGCTGGACAAAAAAAGTAAATAAATACACTGGCAATGAAGAGAATAATTGGCAAAGAAATATAAACACAGTTCATGCAAAAGAAATTAAATGGTTCTTAAAGCATTAAAAAAAAAAAAAAAAAAAAAGACTCAGCCTCACTTAGACTTCCTTTAATCAACAAGACTGGCCAAAATCCAAAAGTTAAGTAGTATACCATGTCCGGGAGAATTTGGAGTAACAGGCACTGTTGGTGGTGGGATGGTAAATTAGTTCAAACTCTATTGAGGGCAGTTTGGCAATTTCTATCAATTTCATTATGGCATTATGATAAGTTTATTAATATTTTGCTGTTATTCTGACACAAGATATCTTTATCACTTTTCCTTTTCATTTTTTCTATTTTTGTCTAGATCAAGTATTACTAACACCATATGCCTGATGGGCAGAATTTTTATGTGATGAGATTTCTAATTATATGGGGTGAAAACTGATTTAATGAGATTGTAAGTAAAGACATTTATATATCAAAGTAAAGCTCTAATTTAAGTTTTCTGGAGTAGACTCATCTTATGAAACCAGATTTTATTCCCTCAGTGTTCCACTTTCCTGATTTTGCTGATCCAACCTTTCTCTCCTTATGACTCACCAAACTAGAAAAACAATTCATTTTCCTTGAATGTGCATATTGTTAGTGAGAGAACAGAACACTTTACTTCAGTGTCATTCATTAATAATGGGAAGTTGTGGGGTATGTGCTTGTGTGTGTGTGTATGTGCATGTCTAGCATTACTAGAATGCCTATTGGTTTGAGGGTCTTGCAGGCTTTGGTAAAGGTGAGGGGTTGGAAACAGGCAAAATAGAGGGAAGGGACAGGCATTTCATGATATTTAAGAATATGGGTACCTGGTTCATTTTCTTAAAAAAGCTTATTTTTGGATGGATAAGATTAAAACCCCTTCTGTTATTATAAAGATGTTTAATTAATAGCATTGTCTTCATATAATCAAGACAGCATATTACTTCTGTTAACACATCTTACTTTCTTGGAGAAAGAATAAAATTTTTCACATAAATTCATTTCCCAGCATCTTGCAGTACAAAAAGCTTAGGTTGGGAGCTTTGAAGAACTAAATTCAAATTTAATTCACAACTAGTCTTTGCCAAGCCGCAGGATGAGCACATAGTTTCTTTATGACAATTTTCTTTATGTACAGCAGGTTAATAACATCTCCTCATGGAGCTCCTGTGAGGAGAAGATCCTCTTACAATGGTGCCTGGTTTATTGGTGATGGATGATGACAGCTCCATCCAGGTTGGATGGCCTAACCCCCTGCTCCTTTCACTCCCTGTGCATACCACTGTCAGAGACTTTATCAGAGCCACCTGATGTCTATTCATTTGACTATCTCTGTGGGCAAACTGTTCAAGTCATCTTGGGCACTGGTGACACTAAATTTTATTTTGATATTAAAACAGAAATATTGGGATCAGCAGTTGGCACAATGGCTATGTCTCTGGACTCCCATGTAGCTGACCATGGTGTGAGTCTTGGACCTGTTGACTTAAACTGATGTTGGATGTGTGTATGTGTGTGTGTGTGTGTGTGCGCACGCGCACCCAAGATCCTGAGAGGAGAATGGAGGGGAGGGGATTGTGGTGTGGCCATCCTCCCTGGGGGGCAGGGTGATTTCTCACTTTCTGTCTCTCTGTCTCTTTCTTTCTGGTATGCATGTGCTCGCCAGATTAATCTACTTTCTGGAGTAGATTAATCTTATGAAACCAGATTTTATTCCCTCAGTGTTCCACTTTCTCTGATTTTGCTGATCTAACCTTTCTCTCCTACAGCAAAAACCTCTTCAAAAAATAAATAGATAAATAGAAATACCTTTTAAATGTCTTTTAAATGTGTTGCCATAAATGGTCTCTATTACCAAGATCTATGATTGATACATACATTAGATTTGCATATGTTCTAAGGTGATCTGGAGACCCTGTGCCCAGTTCGAACAAGTCATCACTAGCTGGGGATCTTACTCACTTTAGTACTAGTGGATGGACTTCCATTTTTTGGTCTCTCTTTGAACTTGGTGTTACTATGCCTGCCTTAATGTGAGGAAATGCCAAGAGTTGGGTGACTTTTCTAAGGCTGTATGACTAGCACATAGCAGTATTGCCATTTGGATTCAGCTTTTTTTTTTACTTATTTCTAATGCATTTTCCACAATATTAAATAAGTATATTTGGTATACTTGGCATAGTATATGACATGGTAGTTACTATTATTATTGTTATATCAAAACTAACTCTTGAGTTTTGAGAATCTGCCCCACGCATGTATTTGATCTCGTATCACTACTAGTCAAAGTCCTGGGATTTTAAGCTCCTGCCTCCCCCCTTTTTCTTTCATGGGGTACTGAGTAACATTCTCGCTTCATGGACGTTGGCTTTGTGCTGCCATCACTATTGCTGCCTTGCGGCCTTATTTCTGGGCTTCCACTGTTGCTGTTGCCTGCTACTGCAGGGCCTGTGAAAGCTGAAATACATTTTTAACAACATACCACTGAATACAGCTGTATTAAACTCCCAGAAAGTTGTTGCCCCTTTGTCCTTTCAATTTCTTTACACAAGAATCTGTGCAAGAGATAGGATGACCCCCCTTGATTTAGTCTTTGTTTTCTGCCTCTCTTTTCTCTCTCTAAAACTTTGGGTTTCTGTGTCCTCATCCTTCCTGGGATTCTCCAATATGTATTCTTCCTGCCTCTGTTTCTTAGGATAGAATTTTGTTGTGAATCAGTTATAGGTGTGCTAAGACATTGACCTCTCTGAGCTTCTCAGAGGATGTCTCCTGTCTATATCCAAGTACAACTTACAGACATTACCATTTTCTATGTGTGTGTTCAAACAGAATATTTAAGAAGCACTGCCCTAGGTTTCAGCTTCTTCAATCCACTTTTATAAATGATCACTTTATCATTTATTTTTTTGTCTTCCAGAAGATTGCTAAATTTTCATCTGGGGATTCTTTCCCCATTTACTCTTTAACATTATGACTTTATACTGTTTTAACCCTGTACTTTCACATCAGTGGGTTCCTGGGGGGGAAAAGAGATACATGCCAAGGTCAAGATGCCATCTTTAACAAAAATCAAGATTTTCTTTTTTTAAAAAATTAACATTATTATGGTATAATTGATTTGCCACAACAGCAGATAATTTAAAATGAGATAGTTTGGTAAGTTATAACATATATATATATATTTGTGAAGCCATCAGTGAAAATGGAACTGTATCTATGAAGAAATTGAGGCTCTAAAAAGCCCAAAGGCTCAAATTGGAACCCAGGGGTGTCAGATCTCAAGGTCCATCCTGTAGACTTACAAGCCCAAATCCTACCTGGGAAAACTATTTCTCATTTCCCTAAAAAGCACACAATCTCCATGAATGTAGCTGCTCATTTATTCAGCAAGAGAGTTGTGCTGAACTATCTATCCCAATGTCATTTTCAACTTTAAGTTTCTTTGTTGTGTTCACTCTGTGATTTTCACAGTAGAGCTATACAAAACATTAAAATCATATTTTTTCCCATAGGAAAATGTTCAAGAAGCTCATTGAATAATATGAGTCAGAATAATATAGAATCTGCTGGAAGTTCCTCAAAATAGTTGGTGAGACATAAAGAATTTGTTTTCTTTTAAGTATATTGTATAATTATTTTTCTGAATATAAACTGCACAGCCTTGTGCTCACAAGAGACATTTTCCTCATTCTTTTATTATTATGTGATGTATTTTTAAAGCTTACCAATGGTGAAAGTTCAACTAATTACCTAACGCTTAGCTGCATTCTTCACTCAGAGAAAACAGATTATGTGTATACATATATAGATAGCCACAGATATTCATAATGATATAGATATTGTTCTATCTACCTAGAGAGCTGTTTTTATACTTCTCAGATGTTATCATCAATGACTAAAGTGTTATAGACCAAAATACATAAAATATATCTAACATGTATATATAGGGATATGTTGTTTATATGCCACATATGTATTATATAATGTTTTTGTACCAAGTTGGAATCCAACTTGACTGTTCTGAGGCCTGACAAATATATTTTCTACTTCTCCAATCTTAGGAAAAGAAGAATTTCTAGACTCTTCATCAAGGCCTTCATTTATATAGCTGTTAAACCCAAGGCTGCTGTGGAGAAAGCATGAATAAAAATACATCTGCTGTCACATCATCCAGTCCACTTGAGAAGTAATTTTTAAATTCAATTTAATGTGCTTTGAAATATCATAGTTTGAAATATGTAGACTATTAATGAACATTTGGCTGAAAGTTTTTTACAGTTAGGATTTTAATATTTTCTAGGATAGCAGTAATGAGTAAAATAATACATTCAATTACTGGTATTTCAGTGTTAATTAATATATGAGACAAATTCTTCATTTTGTCCAAAATTATTTATAAAGATGGCTTTGTAAAAAAGTTTGATTTGATTTTTTTATATATATAAAATATTTTATAATTCCAGTATAAAAATTACCTAAAGAGTAGTTTTTGCTGACTACGAAGCCTAAGCATTTGTCCTCTCATGATTCTGTGGGATGATTGAACAATATTTCTGATATGCATCAAATGATGTAGGATGGCCACGTTCACATGCTCTAAGGCCTGACCTAGGAATGCTAGATGGCTAAGGTCTTTTTCAACCTGGCTAACTCAGCCCACACTTTTTCACACAATGGCAGAACGGTTCACAGAAACAACCACAAGTGTTTCTCAATGTCTGGGTTTTTCATATTTACTGATTTGCCATTGGTAGTTATCAGAAGTTCTGATTACTAGTTCAAATTCAAGGAGTAACAATATAGAAAGGAGCAGTAAAGTTACATTGCTGGGGGCCATGAAGACAGGGATAGGAGGACTTAGAAGTCATTTTGCTAACATGCAACATACATTTAATAAGGTAAATTAAAAAAACTCCTGCTCTAATTCTCTTTCTTGACTCTGCCTTCCTATAGAGAAACATTGTGATTCTTTGTTCTTTTTTAGCTCTTCTTTTTGTATAATCAAATGCATTTACATGGAAGTATGTACATGTATAGCATATATAATTATATATTTGCATTTCACTCCTTGGTATGTTCTTAACCAAAAGGTAATATATTATATATACTCTTTTGACCTTACCACTTTGTCTTAAAATTATATCCTGGTGATCACTTTATAGCAGTTTATATAGATCTTCCTTGTTCCTTGTTATAACTGCATAATAATCCATCCTATGGCAATACCATACTTTATTTAACCAGTATCTTACTGATCAAAATTTGGATTATTTGCAGTTTTATGTGAATACAAATTATGCTAAAATGAGTAACCCAGTATATAAGTCATTTTTTTATTTTTTGTTAAATTATCTTTGGTATAGATTCCTAGAAATAGGTTTGCTGAATCAAGGGTAATTTTTTTGTTAGCTATTACCAAATTCTTTCATTCAGTTGTGCCATTATGCATTTTAACAAGCAATGTACAAAAGTGCTTTTTTCCACAGCTCTGTCATCAGAGTATGTTGCCAAAGTTTAATTGTTCTTTTAATCTGATAGGTAAATACTAGTATCATTTCATAGTTTTAAATTGTCATTTTCTTATTGTGATGAAAGTATTTTTAATACCAAAAAAGAAAAGTGTAAGAAATCTAAATTCTTAATAATTTGGGAGTTTTGGGGCCAGCAGGTGGCGTGGTGGTTAAGGGCACTGGACTCCCACATGGTCGACTGTAGTTTGAGCCCCAGACCTAGTGACTTACTTTCTCACTTTCCCTCTGTCTCTTTCTCTCTCTCACTCTGTCCATCTCTGGTCAAATTAAAATAAATAAATAAGTAAATAAATAAAGTTAAATGAAATAATTCTTAAAAAAATTGGGGAGTTTTTTTGTTTTGTTTGTTTTTAAATTTTGCCAGAGGGCATGTGCACTTTCTAGAGGGATAAGGAGAAGCATCATAGCCCATAGGGAATGATCACACTGTAATTCCTTCTCTTCCATTTCTCCCTTCTTTCAGGATTTTGGTCATGTATTCGCATGTGCCCAGTTCCCAAGCTGGATCTAAAACTATTTACATGGACTGACCCCATGGCCTGATGATTAAGGGAGCTGGATTCCACATGGCCAATGGTGCAGTTCAAGTCCTGGTCCTAGGAACTTGAAAAACATGCCAGGTGTGTGTGCATGTGTACCAGAAAATCCTGACAGGATGGAGAAATGAGGAAGGGATTGTGGTATGACCATGCCCTGTTGGAGAGGGTGCTTTCTCTCTCTCCTCTTTCTGTCAGTCTCTCTCTGGTGACCACATGTACCCTCTAGGAATTATTTAAAAATAAAATAAAACAATAGAATTATTTACATAATATGATATCGATCTAGAAAAAGCAGTACAGGGGCCAGCAGAAGGCAGTGGACTCCCATATGGCTGACTGCAGTCTGAGTCTTTGATTCAGTGGCTTGAAACTCATTCCGGACATGTATGCATGCATGGTCAAGATCCCAGAAGAATGGAGGAGAAGAGAGTGCGGCATGATCATCCCCCCCGGGGTGTGATTTCTCATTTTCTCTCTCACCGTCTGTCTGTCTCCATCACTGACGACTGCACATGCTCTACGGCAAAAGCCTCTTTAAAAATAGAGAGAAAAAAGAAAAAGAAAAAGCAATACAGATAAATTTATAGTGTAAAAAGATGAGATGTAAATACAGTGCTGTATTAGTAACAGGTAGTCTGCTGGGATTAGAAAAAGGATTCTTATTGAAATAACGATACATGCTGGAGACTGCATGCCTCCATCGAAGCACGTTCACATTTAGAGGGTTTAAGAGGGTCACTGGAGAGATTTGCTAATGATGTACCTTAGTTCCCTTTCTCTCTTCATCTTTCCTATTTCTAGGTTTCAGTCCTTTATGCTTTTGCTGCCCAGTATCCCATAAAGAATGGCTTTGGGTACTGAACTGCATTTCAGCGGAATATTCAGACACAATCCTCTCTGCTTTTTTCCCCCTAGCTAATTGACTGTTACCCTAGTAACCAGATAGGCCTTCTAACACTATAGTTGGATTCAATATAATGCAAGTCTAAATAATGTGCTATATAGAGAACAAAATATTTGAAAACAGGGGGTTTTTGAAAAAAATATCTTTCATTTTTCTCTTTTTTATTATTTAGCGATTGATGTAAAAGTATTCTTATAAATATGCTTAGAATTTCTATAGCAGAAGCTAAGAAAAGTTTGTTTCTAAGACTATAATCATATATAAAAGATGTAAATTACTCTTTTAAGTAGTAGTCTCAGTTACTTGATATGTTTGAGGATAGCCAGAAGTCCTATATTCATCAAAAAGTTTGGAGTTTTTTTTGTTTGTTTTTTTCTCCATCTGATACTGTCTATTTACTGTTACTGGGGAGTAAAAACATACTGTTTTGAAATAATTGTCTATACATCTGAAGTCAACAAAAGACTTTCTCTCCTTTTATAAAATTATACACTTTTTCAGAGGAGGAGAAACATCTTGAAAACACCTTCACATTACTTGTTCTTTCATATACTTCAAATTTATACTTAATGCCTTTCTCCTTCTAGACATCAGAAAGAACCCCTGGGTGTTCTGAGAGAAGTTTATATTTCTCTAAATCAATTTCTGGAAAAAAAAGTATCACTTTCAAATTTCTTCTTCTTTTTTTTTTTAAAGATCATTTAACTTTATTTATTCATTCATTTTATTTTAATTTGACCAGAGATAAGAAAGAGGGAAAGTAGGAAAGCAAGTCACTAGATCTGGGACTCGAACTGTGGTTGGCCATATGGGAGTGTCCAACGCCTTGACCAGCACACCACCTGCTGGTCCCTCACTTTCAAATTTGTGTATGATCCTTGTCATGAACAGTTTAAGATGCCCTGCTGCTTCATGACTTCCTTATAAACAGAACTACTTCCCACTATCCAAACCGTGTCCACTTGATTAGTCAATTCTGGTTGCTCATTAAGTTTTAGGGCATCATCCAGACTTTTGGCAAGAAAATCAGCTCCATGTGGAGGTTCCTTGAATTCTCTACCAAGAATTAAATTAATTTTCTCCTTTAAAGGTCAATTCTTTTTGGGAATAGAGAAACAGGTCTTCCTACCTATAATCTCCATATTCTGTTTACCTTCTACTGAAGAGGTAGTGGTCATTCTCTGGAAATACTTGAATTCATTCCTGAGCAGAGGCCAGGGCAGGTCCCCATTCTTGCTGATGCCCATGTTCTGGGACACAGAGACAAAGCAGTTTAGCAGATAAACTCTGACAGCAGCAGGAAGATGCTCTGAGCTTCCTCTCAACACCTGGATGCCAGCTGAGTTTGGCATGAAATCCCAACAAAAGTTTTTTTTTTTTTTTTCTTTTTTTCTTTAGAGAGATTTTTGCTATAGGGTGCGTGTGCTCATCAGAGAGACAGAAAGCAAAAACTTACCCGCCCCCAGGGGGGTATGGCCATGCTGCAATACCTTATCCTCCATTCTTCTCTCTGGATCTTGGGCACGCACACACACACACACCCAGCATGAATTTAAGTCATCTGTCCGGGACTCGAACTGCAGTTGATTTTGTGGGAATTCAGCAATGTAATCATTATGCCATCTGCTGGTCCCCCAACAAAAGTTTTAATACATTAACAAAACAGAGCTCATAACACATATTTACCTCCTAAGAAAGTAAGACGAATCTCACATTACTGCTCTCTAGTTTTGTGACCACAGACAAAGTTACAAAGGCAACCTACCTTACTTTTGGGTCTATTAGAAAAATGATGGTCATGGGCCATCCTGTGGCACAGTAGTTCAGGTGTCTGGATCCCAAATGACCTGTTGCATACATGGTTCATGTCCCAGATCCAGCAACTTGAGAAACATACTAGGGACCTGTGCATGGTGCATGCTTTCCCCAAATCCTGACAGGAGGCAGAAATGGAGAAAAGGGAAGACATAATAACCATTCCCCATAGGACTGTTTTCTCTCTTTCTTCCTTTTCTCCCCCACACACTACCCTCCTCCCGCAAGTACACATATCCTCTGGCAAATTAATTAAGAGAGAGAGAGAAATGAGGATAAAAATCTTTTTTTTTTTTTTTTTTTTTTGGTTTTTGCTATAGGGTGTGTGTGCTCACCAGAAAGATGCCACAGTCCCCGTTTGGGACCAGCAGTTGGCGTAATGGCTATGTTGCTGGACTCCCATGTAGTCGACCATAGTTTGAGTCCCGGACCTGGTGGCTTAAACTCACGCCAGGCACATGTGCATGTGTGCCCAAGATCCCGAGAGGAGAATGGAAGAGAAGGGATTGAGACACAGGCATCCCCCCCAGCGGTTGATTTCTCGCTTTCTGTGTCTCTGTCTCTTTCTTTCTGGCAAGTGCACATGCCCTATAGCAAACAACTGTCCCCCAAAATAATCTTACATATTTTATCAATATCAAGTTGAATGACATAATGTGGATATATTGGTTAGCACAGCACTTGGTACATTACAAGTAAGCAGGAAGCCTAAGTCTTAGTGCAAATGTCATTCAAGTTTTGTCTGGCCAGTGAAAGTCTCTGCTCTGACCATACTGTCCAGAAACACAACTTGGGGTTATACCTTTTGCAGAATTTGCTGGCCAATTTCTTCTTTTCTAGTAGTATTGCTCTTATGTCTGGCAGAAATTATAGCTGGAGCCAGTGCTTTTGACCATGAACATACTCTTTCTAAATAAAAAGGATATGGGTTTTTAAAATTATTATTATGCAAATGATTATCATATTTATTTTGCTTTAAGTGGCCACAAGCATATCTTTTAAAGTTGCTTAATTAATTCAGTAAAATATTTACTTTTGAAATCCTTCAGTGTAGTCTAATAGCTAAAAGCATATCTCTTTAGGCACTTTAATAAATTTGTAAACTTAAGAAGTAAGCATTATGGCTCTAAATTTCTTGTATGGTTTTGTTATTTGATAAAGAAAATGAAAAATACAGGTAAGGATATTCATTTGATTGCTTTTCTATCACCATATTTTTAAAACTGTGTTTGCCTGTTGGTACTAAATGTTTTGGGTTGTGTGGATCTAAGATTTGATTTAACAAGTAGGTTAAAGAAAAAGACATGTGTGGATCTCTAGCCTAACCCGGAAGTGCTAATTTACTTTATCTTAGGGATCCTGCTTTTCAGATGATTACAGTTTCCAAGGAAACAGGCCTTGGTCTGAAGATCCTAGGAGGAATTAACCGGAATGAAGGTCCATTGGTATATATTCAGGAAATCATTCCTGGAGGAGACTGTTATAAGGTAAAAGTGAAAGTAAAAATAACCCCCCACCACTATAAAAACAAAGACAGCACTTAGTGGGAAGGTATATTCTCCTTCTTTATCAGTGACTATTTAGTACTTACTGACTGTTCACTGTGACCATACCTCAGTGTAGTGTACAAAGGAACTGAAAGATTGACTTCACGCTTAAGGAGCTTTAACCTAACAAATGAGTAAGTTCATCCTAGGTGAAAATAACCATTATTTTGTGCTCTAATTTAAAGTTATATATATTTTTAATTATATGCTATCCAACTTAAAAAAAAATTTTGGGGGGGACCAGCAGTTAGCGTAATGGCTATGTCACTGGACTCGCACATAGTCAACCGCGGTTCGAGTCCTGGACCCGGTGGCTTGAACTCACGCCGGGTGTGTGTGCGTGCATGCCCAAGATTCCAAGAGGAGAATGGAGGAGAAGGGATTGCGGCGTGGCCATCCCTCCTGGGGGTGATTTCTCACTTTCTATCTCTCTGTCTCTCTGTGTCTGTCTGGCGAGCGCACGCGCCCTATAGCAAAAACCTCTCTAAAAAAAAATTTTTTTTACTGTCTTTATTTTATCTATTTATTATAAAGGTTTTTGCCATAGGGCTCATGAGTTTGCCAGAGAGAGATAGAGGGAAAATGAGAAATCATCCTCCCGGGGGGGCATGCTGTAATCCCTTCTCCATTCTCTTTCTGGGTGCATGCATATGCACCCAGCATAATTTTCAAGCGCCAGGTCTAGGACTTGGACCGTGGTCAGCCACGTGGGATTTCAGTGCCTTATCACCACACCACCTTCTGGCTCCCTGCTGTTCAATTTTTACCCTAAGTCTAGTCAAGAGATATAATGTCTGAAGACATGGTTAAATTTTGCATTAATTTAGATAAGTTGAATTTGAACTACATTCATTTTGCCCCTTCTAAATGGAGAAGAAAACAAAAAACAACAAGCAAAATGGAATTTACAGTAATTCTTGTTAAGCTTGTTAATTATATTACTAGCTGCCACAGGAGGAAATAGACTGAGAATACACGTGAGATATTAGATGTAGAATTAGACCAGAACATGTAATATTTTTTGGTAGTAGAAGTCTTACTCTGTTCTTTAATATAATAAATATGTAATATCATGGTTCCTTTTTGCTCTGGTTGCTAAGAAACTCAGTCCCAAATTTGAAGTACAACCCCAGCAACTTTGTTAATGAACTGTTTACCATATTTGCATTCTCACTTTTTGAATTTCACTTGCTATTTCTGTTTTACTAAGTGATTATGTATACCATTTGTTGAAAATCACCTTTTTGGTAAGATATAAGACAAATAATTTAATAAAATATTCTATTACTATCAAGCTATATAACATGAGAAAGAATCCTTTTCATTGTTTTATTGTTATTGCTGTATTGTTCTTTAGTTTGGGTTAAATAAAAAATCCTCTCTTACCCCCCTTACCACTATACACTTTTATTTAGCAAGCAGTTTATTTTTTCAGCTTCACCAGTAACTTTAAAAGTCATTGCACTGATTTCAATTGTTTCAGGCTTATTCAGATAATAAAGCATCTTCCAAATATAATTTCCAAGAACTTGGTATATAATAAGTTTAAGATATCATCTTAGCATAAATTTCTGGCTGAAAATTTTAAGTTATTAACCAAATAAGAACATATGTAAATGCTAACTTTAAACAAATTGAAATGAACAAAAAATGAGTTTTTTCTTTCGAAGAATTGAAATGTTTTAAGTACTGTTTTAGTTTTAAAACTAGAGGATGTGCATCTGTGTGTGCGTGTGCGCATGAGAGAATATGAAATCAGTATAGCTAAGTTACTTTTTTAGACTTCACTTGATATAATGTAATCGTAGATCAAGATACCTGACACGAATTTGCTTTTAAGACAAGTTTCAATTTGTTATTTTTTATTACTATGAAAATTATTTGCAGTTACAGTAATAAATTGACCCTTTATCTGCTGTTGGTGATAGCCAGCTAAGAAATTATATCTATGATAAATACTTTTTCCAGTGGCTTTCTTAGAATTCATTGAAAAGAATATTAAAAAGCAAAACCTTCTAATGGACTATATCCTCTGTTTACCACTAGAGGGCAGCACAGAGTCATTAATAGTCTTTAAACCTGGTCATGTTCAACAGAAGAAAACAGCCAAAATAGAGAACAGTTAGTAGTTTCCCAGTGCTCATACTTACTTTTGTATATTTCTTCAAGATAGAGAGTTAAATGCATATTTACCCTGAAAATACAAAATGGATGGAATTTTATTTAAATATTTTTTTAATTACTAGTAAGACATTTGTCCTATATACTGTTTTCAGCATGTTAATAAATTTCTAATCTGCAGCTCAGTCCCATACTATAGCAGTTAAGTTCTCTGCACAGGAAACCCAATTCCACATAGCTGGCTGTGGTTGGAGTCCCAGATCTGACAGGTGTTTCTTCTCCCTCTCTGTCTCCTCTCTTCTCTTCTCCTCTCTTCTCCTCTCTGGTGTGCACAATGTTCCCTCTGGCAATTTTATATATAAAACACCAT